AGGGCCACTGTGCTTGCTATGAGGATCATGAATGTGCAGGTGCTACAGAGCCAGGATCGGTGGAAGGGCAAAGTGACCCAGCTGTTCATCCCTGGGACTGAGCCTGTGGTGGAGTCTCAGCACATCTAGTGTGGAGTTGGTTCTGAAGGACCAGCCCAGAGCTCCAAAGGCACAGCTACATGGACTCTTAAGCACCAAGTGCCCTCATGTAGGGTGTATCACACAGTGACAAGAACACACCAGCAGGACCCTGAGGGGCAGGGAGATGCTGTCCAGTTGCAGGCTGGGGGAACCCAGAGGGTGGTAGCTGTGGCACAGGGACCAGGCTCCTGCTGGAAAGGCAGGCCTGGGACAATGGCCCAACAATGAGCACAGAGAGCCAGGCCAGGCTGGGGTTCTGCAGGTCAGTGTATCCCATGCAGGGAAGGGGAGTGGGGTCTGAAGATTCCAAGGGAGGTCAGGGGAGGCAAGAGATGGTATGACAAATACCAGGCCAAAGAAGCCTGCCAGACCTGACCTCCAAGAACCAGGAAGGTAGTGAACAGCCCATGTCATCCCCCTCCTGAAACACCAGTGTGAGGGACACCAGACCCATGGGAATGTTACCTCTCAGCCTACACTGGGACCCTCTGTGAGTAGGAGCAGGAGCAGGAAGACATCTTGGAGCCAGGAACCACAGGCACAGGGCCTATACCTGGAGCACCTCTGAGGCCATAGGACCCAGGAGTCCCAAGTCCCATACACACAGGACATGAACAGCAACAAACACAGGGTTTTTCAGCAGCTACCAGGTGGAGCTCAGTGAGGCAGTGTTTCCTCTGGCAAAAACGAAGCTTGACCAGAATAATGGATTTCGCTTCTAGCCTGGTGGAGTTTGTATGTAAAAGCAAATGCCAGGCCAGGGATATAGCTCAGCCTGGCAAGTGCAAGGTTGTGAGCAAACAACAAATAAGCAAATACCTACACTGTGCACAGCAGAGAGCATTCACATTTGTCCTGAAGACATACCCATGAATATGCACACACATGTACATGCACAGGCTCAGGCCATGCCTACCCTGACACTCAGGGCTGCTTGGCCTGGGCAGTGTCTCCCAGGTACTCAGGAAGTCCTGAATGACCTCTCCTGGGGGTAAGGCCCTGGCAGCACAGGTGAGGAGGTAGGAGGCTTCCCTGGGAAGGATGGAGACTTTAGCTGCCTGGCCCCATCATTGCTGGCCTATTCCACAGTGGGGCCAATCTCCAGGACACCACCTTCCTTGGGCACCACTTTCCCATGCCAAGGCTCTAAATGCCAATAGCCTTATTCCCAAACCATCTCAGTGAGCAGTGATGACTCAAAGGTCGGACCCATCATGCTCACCATGATGCAAGGCAGGCCCCTCCAGGTCCTGAGCAGGCTCTGGGGCTCTGTCCCCAGCCATCTGGCTTGACTCCCTTGTGGCTCTGCCTTCAGCCTAAGCCACACAGAGCCCAGGATCTAAAGCCAGGTGTGCCATGACCCCGGTGTATAGGCATCTGTCACCTCCCAGACTACAGGATAGGCCCCAGAGCAGGCAACTCCCTCTTGGCCACTGATGACCCCCAAGGGCTGTTCAGAGCCAGCACAGCAGGCTGACTGCCTGGCCCAGGGACTCCTGCCTGGGGGGTCAAGGGCAGGGTCATGTGATTGGGACTGGGGACCCCCCTCCCAGGACACAAAAAAGATGGCTGCTGGAGTGGGGCTCTCCTTCCTCAGCTTGGGGGCTTCTTGTGGACCTTGGAGTGTGCAGAGCCTCCCTGGCCAACAGGGAGTGCAGACATCACTGGTGGCCCCATGGGAAGGGTTCAAGGACAAAGCAAGCCCCTCCCTCCTCCACTTGCACTCTGCCATGCTCCCTCATTCTGTGGATGGGCTGAGCTCCTGCAATGACGTCTGAGTGTGAAGGTGATACAGGTAGCACGTGGGCTCCTGAAGGCCCAGGTCTCTCCAGAGAGGGGAGTCCCACCGTGCTCTGAGCTCATGCAAGGCTGCTCAGACTGGGCCCCAGCAAGAGACCAAGAGCGTGGGGTGGAGCCCAGAGTGGCCCTGCCAAGGAACAGGACTGGGCAAGCACTGGGCCTTGGACCTTTGGTGTAAGTGGGTGCTAATCCGGCCTCTGGCAGGAGGAATAAGTTTCCAATCCCTCCCAGGAAGCTGAGAGAAGCCTGAGCTGCACTTGGATTCTCCAATTAACCATCATCAGGTAATTAGACTCTTCCCAGCCCAGGGGAACAAGGAAGGTAATTAATGCCATGATGGAAATCCTAGGCACCTGGTGCAGAGAGAGCTGGATCAGCCCCGTGTGCCCCTGAAGTCACCCATCATGACTGCCCATGGAAATCCCTGCATGGCAGCTGCTCCTGGCCCACAAGACTGGGTGTCTGTGCATGTGTGCAGGGTGCAGAGTGTATGCTGATGACACTGTCTGTATGAGGATGCATTTGCAAGTGCACATGTATCCGTGTGTGCAGCATGATGTGGTGGGAGTGTGCCTGTGTGTATGGGTGTATGTCATGTCTGGAGCATCTATGTCTGTGTGTACAGTGTGCACAGTATGTGGCTCTGTCCCACCTAAGCCTGACGTGGAAGGCAGGCAATCTGACCCCAGGGTGCCAGGGCCACCTGGCCATGGCTGCTGGCACAAACATGACCCCCACCCCACAAGAGGCAGAGGGGTCTGAGGAAGGCACTGCCTCCAAGGACTCAGCATGCTTGTTTTCCCTCCTGGGGACGAATGGGTGGCGCCCACTCCTAGGATTTCCAGTCAGCACTCTGCAGGCACCAGAGCCTTGTCTTCTGGGTGGTACAAGACAGAGGGATAAGAAGGGACTAGGAGGCCTTACCAGGTCTCCAGGCACCAGGAAGAAGCATTTAGATTCAGAAATGGAAGTAACTGCCTATTTTCTCTGAGAAATATTCTACCCAAGATTTTAAAAGTAAGATTCCCTGATAGGAAGAAAGATCTAACTACCGCCCAGCACCACACAGTCCTGTAATCAATGCAACCTGAGTCATTCTTACACCTTGGAAGAAAGTTCAGTTGAGCTGGGTCATGGCTTTTAGAACAGGCAGTGTCTCAGGACAGGGACAATGCCCAGCTCCTAAGGATGGGGGTTGGGGAGACAGGCTTCTGCTATCTTGCTGGCCAGCTGGCTCCCTAACATCCTGGAGGGTAAGGCAGGCATCCCAATACGGGTCCCAGGCAGCCGCTGGAAGCCGCACAGGCCTGAGCCCTCCCTGCCCACGCCAGGGCCGTGTCTGGGAGCTGCATCAGGCGAGGCCTGGGTGGCAGCCAACCAGTCCCGGCATCTTGGAGGGATGTTATCACTGCAGAACATTCCAGAAGCAACACGCCTGGTGTTTGTTCAGCTTCTGGCTCCCGAGCGGCGGCACAGAAGCTCGTTGGGTGCGTCTGCTGGGCCCGCCTGGGAGCCATGTCTCTGCCTGTGTCCCACCCTGCCCACCGGTGTGCCTGGCCACAGACCTCCCTTTGTGAGAACAAGCCACACAACATCCAGTTCAGCCTTTGTGGCTGGCTGTGGATAGGGCTGTCACCAGCCCAGCAACCCAGTAGTGCAGCATGCAGCCCCAGGCTGTAATGGTTAAGTCCTAGAGCCAGGGCTCGTGGGGTTGCAGGATGGACAAGGGCTAGCATTCAGCTCCCCCAAGTGCACTATGCCTCCCATCGTGCACGACCGGGGGGCCCTCTGCCTGTGATGGCCAGGGGACCACAGCCCTGTCAGTAGGGACCAACAGTGAGGTACACAAGCTTGTGGAGGGAGATGGGACAATGTCAGGTAGGCAGCACACCTTGGGACATCCACAGGCCAAGGACCCCCATGGACAGCCCACAGGCCCCACTGTGTCCCACCCATCACCCACCTGGGACACAAGGCAGAGGTCTCTGTTCAGAGGAAAACAGCAAGGAACCTCTGAACATACAGCTGCAGTGACCTGGGGCCAGAACCAAAAGCTGAGGCCCTGCTCACTGCCCACAGCCATGTGCGCTAAAGTCCTTGTCTCCCTGCCCTACCATGTGGGTCCTTACCTGGTCCCCAGCACCTTCTCTCCCTGCCTCCAATGTCAGTGAGAGATGTGGGCTTTAGAATATCCTGTTGCCCACGATGCCCCAGACAGAGGGCATCTCCAGAATGCCTTGTCCACCAGAGTGTTGAGCAGAACCACACTTTGCAGATGTAATGAGTTTTTGAAGTGGTTACATAGGGGACGGTGGCTGCCAGGCAAATATGACTGTTCATCTGACTCAAAAGGGCTACAGGAGCATCCTGTTCCCAACACACACACATACAGCCCTGGTTATTGCTGTCCCAGCTGAGCAGTACCTGTCACCTGCTGTGGCAGCTACAGAAACCACTGCGCAGGTACTGAGTGCAGTCCTCAGGCAAATGTCCCACACTGCCTGCAGTAGGCCACTGAGGGACAGGACCAAGGCTGTCACCAGGGTGCCAACTAAGTGTAGCCCCAGGACGGTGTGAGCAACCCAGCTCCACTAGGGGGCTTGGCAAGGGATGGGGGGAGCACCTTTCACCCCTGCACTGGCACCTGCAGCCATTTTGGCGTGTCTGTTAGTCAGCTTCCCACACCTGTGACAAAATAACCAAGTAGCTTAAGAGAACAGGCTTGCTTTGCCTCTGGTTCCAGGTAGCTTTGGTCCTGTGCTGAGGCAGAAATCACAGCAGGGAGCTGGGTGGTGGCGGCTGCTCCCCCAGTGTCTGTGAGGTACAGGGACAAAAGGAGGCATGGAGGACACCACCCTCGCGGGTGGGGCCAATGGCCGGCCTTCCTCCAGCCTACCCTGCCACCGCACTCAGCCCACCTACACAGATACAGATACATCCAAGGCAGGAGAGTGAGTACAGGGCCCCCCTGGGAGGTTTTTATCTGCTGTTTACCCTTGAAATCAGAAAATGGACTGAAGGCTCCAGGGTTTAAAAAGCATGAAAGCCACTCAACTGCATAATTTTCAATTTAATTTTATTACAAAGTCATTCACGTTCATTCTATAAAGACAACACATATGACAGCGAAGTTTCTAGGCATCCATGCAAAGCCTGCTGCTTTGGGCAATCTGCATCTGTCCACACACAAGAGGACTTGTGTGCTTTGTCTTGGGAACATGGGGTGCCTGGTCCTGTGAAAACCTCAGCAGGCCGGCACTCAGGGGCCAGGAAGGATCCCACATGCATGGCTGCTGGGATGACAGGAGCCATGGGACGTGGGCAAGGAACCACGTCTGCTGGCCCCTCCTGAACTGTCACACCCAGTTCACCTCCCTTATCCCCTGCAGGGCCCCCCTGTCCTCCTAGGCTACCCCACGTCTAGGTGCTGTCCTGGCTGTCTCCTCAGGGGGACCCTGGGGGAAGAACCCAGTGCTCAGGAAGGAGTGAAGGAAGGTGGTTGAAGGCTGTCAGCCAGGCAGACCAGCAGTGGGGCACGGCTCATGGGTCACTAGCAGAGCAGGATGCATAATTCCACGTGTGAAGCAGTGCAGTCTGAGGACTGAGCCACCCACCACCTACCAACCACGCACCCAAGTATCTGTCCTTTGCTTCCTGTAGAAACTGGTCCCCAAACCTCTAAACTGCTCCCTCCACTGGGAACCTGCTGCTGTCACGGCAGATGGCAGCTGGATAGGGACAAGCATGTGGTCTCAGCTGGATCCAACAGATTTGGGATCTGCTGCTGGTCCCCTTTTGTCCCTTTTCAGTGCCAGCTGTCTCCAGGGTGTCCACACCATATCTGTGGAATCTCATTGCTCTCCCAGGAAAGGGAGCCTGGGATGCACACTCCTATTGTGGCCTGGGTGACACTACTGGGCTGTAGGTCCTGCTTGGGAGCCAGCCTGACTGAGCATGCTGGTCACAACTGATGCTGGGGACATGGAGACTCAAAGCAGGAGGGCAGAGTACAGGGCCCACAAGTCCTGAGCCTCTTGGGCCCTGCTACTGCCCTCACCTGGATCCCTGCAGCAAGGGGGGCAGTGGGTCCTACATAGCAGGAGTGGAGGACAGCCAGGAGTGCAAAGCCTGCAGCAGGGACACAACTCCTCCCCTCCACATCCTCAGCTGACTGAGTGTGAAGCCTTCTTCCTGGGGATTGAGCAAGCGGCTCCCACAAAGTGGTGAGTGAGCAGTCTGACTGAGCAGTCCACAAAGGCCATGAGGAAACTGCAGCCCTGGTGAAGGTGTTGTGGACAAGGGGACAGCAGAGGGTAGCTTTGACATTTGCACTCTTGGTAACCCAGGGGCAGCACACAGGTGCCAGGTGGGGCCCCAATGGTTTCTGCAGGAGTCTGTGAGGCTAGGCAGCCTGCCCAGGCCTCTATACCATCATATTCCTTCTGTAGGCCAAGCTGGGAGCCCACATTTGGTGCCTGACACGGGGAGGCCAGGCCTGGTGGCCCTGTGGGTCTTCTAAACTATTATCCTAGCCACACCAAGCTCCACCCCAAGATGCAGGTGCCCTGGGCAGCAGCAAAGGGTCAAGAAGGCTTCACCGAGCACATGGCAGCTCTCTCCACCCTAGTGTATTAAAGGCTCTGCTAGAAGGCAATCACTGAAGCTGCAGCCTCCCCACACCTCTGAGCAGGGTCCACTTGGAGCATGCAGCACTCTGCTCTGGTCACAGGTGGCCAGTATCTTCCAGCTGCATCTGGAGGGCCAGCTGCTGCCCAATGGCCAGCAGGGGACTGGCTCTGTAAGCTGGGTTGGTCAGAAGTTTCTGGAACCGGGTCCTTTCTTCCTCACTGAAATTATAGAGACCACAGGTCAATGGACAGCAGGGAAATACCCAGCTCTACAGCAAGGGTTGAGAACAAGTGCCCACCAACCAGGATATGGAGATCTGGGCACCCCACACCCAGGCCTCAGTCATAGCAATGGATAGCAGAGCCTAGCATTACAACCCAAACTGCCCAGTGCCTGGGGAAACAGGGAGCTGCTCTGAGGGCAACTTGCTTGCCCAGGGCCAATGGGGGTCACCCTGCTGAGCAGAGGTAGCAGAGTCACAGCTCGCCTGCCCTGCAGACACATGGGCCTTACATAAGAGGTGCCTGCTCCCCAGCAAGCCCAAAATAGCCATGCCTGAGCGCCTGAGCAGGAGGTGGGACAGGCTGTCACAGGGGCTCAGGGCCTGTGCCTTGTGATGGCCAACTACCCCAACCCCTGCCACCTACTCTAAGTCAAAAAGGTCACCCTCAGAAGTACTCTGCAGCCCAAAGGCTGCATGAATCCTCAGGCTGGTACCCTGGAGAGGACAGGGAACCTGGAGCATAACTTGCAGATGGAACCTGGGGTGGTTACCCTAACATGTGCTGGCTGAGCCCCAGGTAACCACAGGCATGTCTAGATCATGCTGGCCTGGGCTCTGGGTGGTCATAAGGATGCCTCACATGGCCTAGGCTGATAGGACCCTGCTTGGGACTGTCACCTGCTCCTCCTGCTTGACCCCCAGTCCCGCACTCCCCAAGGCACCCAGTGAAAGGCCTCAGGCACTGGGGACGCTAACCATGGGAAGTGCTGCCCTGTGGGTGTGCCTGGCAGCAGGTGCCCAGGGAGCCATACTCACAGCAGCTGTTGTCTCTGGGCTGCACTCATCCGGCTGAGCTGGGCTGGCCGGGGCTTACTGCTCACCTTGCTGTGAACACAGAGGGGTGCTGCCACCAACTCCTGCCCATGTGAGACCTCCCAATCTCAACAGACAGTGTGCCCAGGTGAGAAAGGCATGATCCTGATTCGGGGGACACCGGGGTTCCCTGTGCATGCTGCAGCACTACTGCAACTCCGCAGGGACCCAGCCTACCCACTTGGCCCAGGGGTCAACAAGGACCTGGCCGTGGAGCAGTCACCAAGCTTCTTTCCTGGGGATCTATGCGCCTGCCAAGAAGCCAGTGACTGTACCACATGCCACCTGCCATGGGGGTGGCCCAGAGGAAGGGCAGAAAAGAGCTCAAGTTCTGGGCAACACTTAAATTTAGCCTCCTGACCAGGGGCCTGATTTCTTATTCATGTATATTCTAAAATATGAATGGGAGACATTTTCTGTCTCTCCAAAATATAGGCTGATGCAGGGACCGGGGCTTGACCCCCGGAGTGTGGTGCCAGCCCTGCCCCTAGGGCGTACTGAGATGGCAAATGAGACTGGGTATGGTGGTGCAGCGGTGTGCCTGTAATCCCAGAGCTTGGAGGCTGAAAACAGAAGCATCATTATGAGTCCAATCTGTGTAGTGAGACCCTACAGACCCTGGAATAAATTGAAAAAAATTTATTAGCCCCTCTAGGCTGCTGACGAGGACAAGCTTGGGTCCTCCAAGGCCTCTAGGCTCTGGGGAAGGAGGAACACAGGCAGCATGGGCAGGAGACACCCTAAAATCCAGTGCCTAAGCTGCTGCCCCCCGGGGAAGGACTGTCAGGTGCTGGTGTTTCCTGCCTAGCCTCTAGGATGGTGGAGGTCTCACGCCCCCTCACCTGCCAACTCATTCTTTCCTGACACACCTAAAGCAAATAAGGTTGGAGCCACTGGGCCCTGGTCCTTCAGCCACACTGGCAACAGTGTAGTCTGGGCCAGGGATGCTTCGAGCCTCAGGGAACCTACAGGTGACCCACCATGCCTTATGGGTGGGTCCATTCACCTGTGGAGTATGACCCCACATCAGGCTCCCTCGGAGCATTGCTCTAGGGCAAGGATACTGCTGGTAGCTGAGCTGTGGAATAACATGAGTATTGTCACCTCAGTGTGACCTGTACAGACAGGAACCTTCCTCACCAAGAGAAACCATGGAGGGCAGGTAAGGTGAGGCAAGGAAGTCAGGCTGGTTCCACGGCAATACGTGAGACCCTGGACAGGGACAGTGATGAGGACCATGGTGACCATGACGACCCCCGGCCTGAGGCCCAAAGGCCCAGCACATTCCTCCTTGGACTGGCAGGCAGCTGTTTATACAGCCCTCCCTTCCAGGAGCCCAGCACATTTTTCAGATGAGAAAACCGAGAAGGGGGGCAGGACCTTTGACCAGGTCACATTTTTGCTCAAGAACCAGGCATGGAATCCACAGGGCGGCCCTGTTCCACTGTCTCGCCCCGCTCCACCCTGGTGGGATCCCATCTGTGCCAAGTATTCTAGTGCCTCCAAGGCAGAAAGCCCCAAGACCCTCTGGCTCAGTGAAAGTGCATGCCCCTGCTTCCCCTCAGAAGGAAATTTGGCAGAAGAAAATAATTCTTTTTAAAACAGCAAAATTAGAAATGTTGGAGATAAAGACAGAAGTCCAGCAGCTGTAACAGCAGAAAGCCCCAATGCTGTCATCTGCTCCCTAAAGCTGAGGTCCGCTGCCCCTCTAGGCTGCTGATGAGGACAAGCTTGGGTCCTCCAAGGCCTCTAGGTTCTGGGGAAGGAGGAACACAGGCAGCATGGGCAGGAGACACCCTAAGAAGCAGCTGGGGAGCAAATACAAAGGTCGTGAGGCCAGGATGGGGCACATATGCTGGGCAGCCATGTGCTGCAGTTAGACCAGGAGCCAAAGCTGATGAAGAGTGCAAAGCATTTGAGTCAGCAGGGCTGGGGTCTCAAGATATGTGTGGCATGGCTGTTCCCAAGCCCTCACCAACAGCCACAGTGCCCCAGGCCTCACCCTGAGTATAAGGGTCTCATGTCAGGTACAGCTGAACTCACACACCTCCCATTCCCCCCATGGGGCTCCTGTGAACTGGACAATGGGACACTTACACCCTTGGCGGCGGTGGGCAGTAGGCCTCCAGCTCCTCCAGCTTGGGTAGGGCATCTCTCAGGGGGTGCAGGTCTCCCACCACCACCATGGCCTGGCGTTTCCGCTCCTCCTTGCGCTTCTGCTCAGCCAGCTTGATGGCTTCTATTTCTGGGGCAGAGGGTACAGGGTCAAAGAAGGGGTTAGATGTCCATCACCTGCACTCTTCCTGCTGTCCCTCAGTTATGCCCCGCCTTAAGGACCTCTGAGTCGGTGGCTCCAAACTATTTTTTCCCCTATAATCACAGAGCAGGCTTTTTAATTACATGCTGAGCGGAGCTTTGAGCTGAGGCTGGGGCTGCTCCCTCAACAGGGACATGCTGGCACAGCTTCCTGCTGCAGTGCCAGCATCCTCTGCCCCAGAGTCGAGACCAGCATAGCAATCCCCTACAGGGAGGCTTGGTGGCAAGAAGGACACTGGTCGAGCAGCACCAACATGAGGGTCAACATGGGAGTGGGTAGGGCAGGAGAGGGGTCAGGTGGTGCAGGAAGGGAGGTATGGGCAAGGGCCTGCAGCCCTGCATGGGATGGGGGGGGAATAGTCTCTAGATGTGCTTGGCAGCAGAGCAGCTAGGTCAAAGCTACACTAGGAGAAAGGTTCCAATGTGCTCCTCGATGTGTATGGCCTGAACTTTACTTGGGCTCCCCTGACAAGCCCTCCCACCTTGCTGCAGGAATGGTCAAGGGGACGAGGGCAAAACCCTGGCACAGGCAATTCCAATACACAAGGAGCATAGGGAACTGAGGAACATACAGCACAAAAATATATTCTTCCGAACGTGCTACAGAACCCACAGAGGCCACAGGACTGATGCAAGATTATAGCAAGCTCACAGCACACAAAATTATTGTTAAAAAAGGGGTGGGGGATCAGGCCAGTGAGATAGTGAACTAAGCACCTGCTTAGGACTGGGGTTTGATCCTCAGCACCACATGTTGTGCTGGTCCTGGCCCTGGGCACTGAGATCAGGTGTGGTGGCATACACTTGTAATCCCAGTGCTGGGGAGGCTGAATACAGGAGGATCATTATGTGAGTCCAAGCTGTGTAGTGAGACCCTGCACCAAATATATTTTAAAAAAGACATCAAATGGATTTTTATATATTAGAAATTGGAAAAATTCCATTTACAATAGCAACAAAAATTGTAAAATATTTAGTAAATTTGTCCAAACCACACCAAACCCACACATACAAAAAAGAAACAGAAAAAGAAAAACAGAAAGGGAAGCCTACAAGGAGAATGGCACAATGTCAGTGGGTCTTAAAATGCAGTACTGTGAGGTGGAAACACTCCTGGAACTGTGCTAGGACTCAGGGCAACCTATAGCTCACTAGGTGGCTGCTGCTGCTGCTCCTAAAGAATGACAAACGAATGGTACAATTCCATGGGGAAGCCAAGAACTGGAGACCCAACTGACTCTATCAACAGGACAGGGTGGATAAGCCACAGGCTAGAGCCACCCCAAGTACAAGGCATCCAGTACAAGGAAGGAGGTCTCTGGACATCTGGTAGCGGAACAGCTGTAAGCCCACTGCAAGATGCAAAAGACCCAGCCATAGACCAAAGGTGTCAATCCAGGAGGGAGCACAGCCTGGACATAAAGCAAGTCCCTAAGGGTCTCATGGGAAAATATCTTCATGATGTGGAATTAAGCAAGATTCTCTTAAATGAGACACATATCCCATAACCAGACTTCTCAAAATTAAACTCCTGTCATAGAAAAATGTAAGAAAATGAACAGGCCAATCACAGGCTTTGAGGAAATATTTGCAAAACACATAGCTGCCCAAGGACTGGAGTCCAGGACACAGAAGATTCTGAGCACCCCAGTAATAAAATGCAAAGAGCTTAGGGAAGAGACTTCTTGCAGAGGAAGCACAGGCAGCAGAAGCTCATGACAATCCCCCTCCCCGTGATGCCAGTCGGCCCAGGAGAAGCCAGTGCCATCTTCAGGCCAGGACAGAGACAGTGCATGAGTGGGAAAGGCTGCAGCCACCAGAACTCTCCCACACTGCTAGTGGGGCACAGAGGCATGACTTGGTTAGAAGATGTCTGGCAGTCGCTCATGAAACTAAACATGCACCTACCCTATGACCCAGCGTTCCATTCCTAAGTATTTACACAAGAGAAACGAAAACAGGGCCATGAAGACTCAAATGTTCGTCCAGCCTTACTCATCGAGCCAAACATGGCAAAGCCAGGTGCCACCACAGAAGACTGGCCAGGGGTGTGTGCAGTGTGCTGCTCCAAAAGCTCAGCCCCTGCTCCAAGCTGCCTGTAGACAGACAGATGGACAGGTGGGTGGATGGACAGATGGACTGGGAGGTAAGCAGGCAGGCATGATGGCATCTCCATATACTCAGCTCATGGGGCAGAACCAGGCACCAACACAGCTGATGGAGCCACTTCTGGGTGGTGAGGAAGCCAATACCTTTAAAGAGACTTCAGCTACATAGGTACATGAAAGCATCTGAAATCCTCATTCACTATACACAAATAGTCTCCAAAGAAAAAGAAAAAAAGGTTCCATCAACAAAATTAACCTCAGTAGAATTACATGGGGTGAGAGGAGTGTAACGACACATGCATTGGGCTTTGGAATGTGTAAAAAGTGTTACTGGGTAGACAGAGGGATGGACATGGGTGGTCTTAAGACAAAGGAGCAGTGTGCCAACTGTGAAATCCAGAGTCATTTGAGGGTGCTCAGTAAAAAATTTTCCCTACTTTTCTGCATACCATTTCTTTTTAAATGTGTGTATTTGGTACAGGGTCTCACTACACTGCTGGGGCTCCGTGATCCTCCTGTTTTCTGCCTCCCCAGAGCTGAGATTATAGGCATGTGCCACCACACCCAGTCTCAGTGGCTGGCTCACAATGCCTGGGGGCAGGTCCAGCACGGCATGCAGTACTAGGGCTCCAACTGTGGTCCCTGCACTTGCCTAAGCAGGTGCTTAGTCTGCTAAGCTATCTCACCCCTGCTTAGTCTGCTGAGCTATCTCACCCCTGAATGCCATTTTTGACAATAAACTATGAAGTAAAACCGCTTGGGAGAGGTGGTTGCTGCTATACTCAAAGGCCAACTTATAGCCTTTTCTTTCTAAAAAACACACAGGAACAGGCGGGTGAGCCACTCAAGTGAACCTGGAGAGTCCAAGCAGAAACAAATGACCCAGAAAAAAAAAAAAAAGAGTAGTACTAATCCAAATTCCCGGGTGGGAGGGGACAAAACTTCCTAGCTAGTTTAATCAGAAATGAGGCACAATAAAGAATGATAAAGAGAACATAAACGATATTTAATAACAAGAAACCAACATGTAGCCTCTCACTAACAAAGGCCAAGATTTGATTATTTGAAGAAAACATGAGTGGCAAAGCATTTCAAGACATAAAGAAGGAAACATTTCAAATAAAGTTTACAAAGTCAGCAAAATCACAAAACAATCTTTTTTTGTGATCTTTGTGTAAAGATAGGAATATTTTTAGCACATTAGCAGCTCATTAGCATCATGAATTAATAAAGTCAAGGAATTAATAAAAAGACCAAGCATCAGTGATAAAAATTACATATCTCAAAAATTAAACCCCAGAAGTGTTCAGGTATGCATGGCCATGGTCTATGAATACTCCCAGAGCTGGCTTACAGACAATACTTCGCATGACTTCATACCATGAATTATGCAATGGAAAATAAAGGCATGAACCACTTAAGCAACACCCAAAAAGTGGCGAACACATGAAACTAGTATTCCTGGAATAAACTGGCAAGTTTCTCTAAAGATTACCTTCAAAAAAACACAATTTCTTTAAAAGCCTCAAGGAAAAGACAAAGTAAACAGCATTTCAAGATATAAAGAAGGAAACATTTCAAATAAAGTTTACAAAGTCAGCAAAATCATAATCTTTTTTGTGATCTTTGTGTAAAGATAGGAATATTTTTAGAACATTAGCAGCTCATTAGCGTCATGTAAAATAGCTACACATCCCAAGCAGGAGTGAGAGGAGAGGCACTCGACCTGCTAAGGACTGGCTGGAGTCCAGGCGGGTCTGTCCTGGGCCGGGTAGAAGGAGAAGGACCCACCTGCACTCACACCAATGAGCAAAGGGAAGGACACAGTACATGCAACTTCTAAAATTAAAAGATTCATCAGAAGAATTAACATGGACTTTTAACATACAAGTAGCCGTGACAGGCAGCCTCCACAGATGGTTTTCTGGGGAGCGGGAAATGTGGACGCTGCAGGTGCTCACATACAGCAGGGGCAGCTGTCACCAGGCCTTCCAATTGCCTCCGACAGAGCCAGGTGACCCCTCACGGGATCTGCTTTGGGTTCCTGGCAGAGTGGCCCTGCAAGGCAGCCATGTCAGACATCTGAACACAGGAGGGAGCAGCCAGCATGGCTAACCTGGGAGATAAAGACACAGACTTACTCTTCAGCCATCGCTCCCGCCGCTGCCTGAGTTTCTCCTTCTTGGGCAAAATGGCCTTCACCTCTGCACCTTAAGAGAGAAAGCATGGATGAGTCCTGGTGCCCAGTGGGACTTCAACCCATAGTCCCCAGCCCCACTCCACTGTGCCTGAGGCTGGGACAGAGCAGATTTCCACTGTGCTGGCAGAAGCCTGGCAGGGGCAGCTCACAGCAATTAGCTGTGCCATGGTGACGGTCAGCCCTGGTCTCCAATTCTCTGGGTTCTGTGTAGTCTTGGGACATATACAGCATGTACCAGCACACTAGAGCTCTCCAGGAAAAAAGGCGATGGCCTGGCCCCTGACCACTGTCTGCCAGGAAAGCTAGGTAGTGTTACCAACGAGGAGGACCCCTATCCACTATACCTAGGTTGACTTCAGGACCAAGTGCAGGTGACTACATGGCCCAGAGGAGTCCACCACCTACACAGGAGTCATGAACTGGGTATAAGTCCACAGACACATAGGACAACAGCCTGGCCTATGTGCTTGCCTGCTCCTAGCTGCATTCAGGAGTACTACCTGGGACCATAGGTCCACATCCAGGAAAGCAGTGTCACCACACCTGCCTCAGTAAAGGCAGTCAGTGAGAACACTGGGGCAGACTCCTGCTCTGGCTGCCTGCACCATCCTTGTGCCTACTAGCCTCTCTGGCACCTGGAGCACACACCCTTCATCCTGCTGCTGCATCCCATCTATGGCCATGCTGGTTCCAACCCCTGCTCTATCAGCATTAGCACCAATGTGCCAGCTGCCCTGTGACCCAGGCTTTCTACATGGATGTTATCACCTGAGGGCCATATGGTCACCCAGGGCAGAGTGGGAGTAGAAGCACTGTTCTGTGCTCGGATGTGTGAATGCTCCTTGTTCTAATGCCACCTGCTCTGCCCAGTCCCAGGCTCTACCACTGCTTTTCACTGCTGCCACCCAGGCTATAAAGCAGGCCACTGGCACCCTGGATAGGCATCTGCAGAGCCATCTGGGAACAGAGGAAGGAAGGTCAATGTGCACTTCATGAGTTCTTCCAGTTGCTGGGTTGGGCTGCAGATCACTTGCATCCCTCCCTGGTCTCACAGGGACAGACAAGGTGCCTGCACTGGAGATAAGGTGTGGCAAGGAAGGTACCCTCACCATCACCGCTGGTCACCCTGGAGGGAAAGGGTCTCTCTGTGAAAGCCTATGAGAATTGCCTGGAAACACTGGGGGCAAGGGGTGCATTTCAGTCAGGAACCCACTGAATTCTCCATATAGAAAAGCAGGGCTCTACAAGAGCAGCACCCTGCCCAGCCACAAGGGATGGCCAAGGACAGGCTGTCCAGGCAAGGTGATAGCTTGGCCTCTGACAGGAGGACCCACAATGGCCACTACAGACAGGGCAGGGCAATGCAGTGCAGGTTGGGTGAGTTTACATGTCACTTGGGCCCCAGGAACCCCTGGCTATAGGAATCTGGGAGATAGGATTAGAGACTTGCCAAAGTGAACCCTGACCCAGGCATGCCATAACTTGACTTTAAAAAGTACTGAAAATACACTCAGCCCCAGATGCCAGACCCAGGCTTCTCAGGCCCATCAGGGCCATCTACTTCACACTATGAGGTAGCCAGGGCCACCACCACACACCCCAGGTAACCACAGTCAGGCCCACGATTGTTAACCAAAAGTGGTTAAGCTGTGTCCTCAGGATACTGGCCAGGTGGGCCAGCTCCACAGAGGCAGTGCCAGTGGAGATCCCCACCTCAGGACAGCCATGACTCAGTACTCAGACAGTGTGTGGTAGGGGCTGGAGAATGCAGGTCACACCAGCCCCTGTGTGGATGCAGGACATGGGGAGGAAGTGGAGCTGGAGCTGGGGCTGGGGCTAGGGTCAGGGTCAGGACCAAGATGTAGAGCAGGTTACTGGGTCCTCACTGCTTATGGGGTTCCCACAGCTTGGTGTCCTTGAGTCAATGGGGGGTGTACTTCCTGTGCAACATGTGGGTTTACAACATGAACACAGAGATGGTGTCATCTCTGCAGAGTCCCCCTAAGCTTGGACAGAGTCCTGGAGAGATAAGCCCACTGGTATCCCTGCTCAGTCCTAGGCTTGGGGCTGAGAATGGGGATGGGCAGGAACAGTGTATGCCCTGAGGGTGGCTCTGGAGCAGGGCAACCCTGAGGACAAACCCCAGGCCTGGACATCAGGTTGCTGCCACCTAGTACTGCTCTCAGAATTTATCTAGGCAGATGCTTCCTGGTCTCAGTGATGCAGACTTTCCAGCCTACACTGGGAAGAACCCACGCATGGAGGTGGCAGCATCCAAGTCCCATGGACAGTACAACAGAAGTCCTGCCCAGCTACACTGTGTGTGTGCTTTGTTCCCACTTCTGGATGTGTCCACACTCTGGACAGAGTGGATTCTGTCCATACTCACCCTACCCTACCCCAAAAGGGGAGTTGGACCCACACAGCTTTTTCAGAAAAGGACCTGGGACTTAGCAATGGGTGCTGTCTTACCACAGGGCATGTCCTGGGGCAGCTGCGGCACTTCAGGAGACCAGACCCTGCTCTGAATGTGAGGTCCAGGTCATCACCATGGCAGTCCAAGTAAGGCCAGAAGGAATAGGCTAGCACATGCACCTCTGTGACAACGCAAGAATGCAATAACCAAGCCAGGGTGGTTGGTCCCAGAGAACCAGAACTAGAGCAGAATAGGAACACTGGGCCTTGGGCCGGACCCTCTTGTAGTGGCAGCATAGCAGCCCATTCCTTGGGGCCACAATGGAGACCATATGAACTACCAACCCCCATTAGCAGATTGGTGGCTGAAGGGCCACAAGTCCCACCTTGGTGCCCTCCACTTCAACCCACAGGCAAGACCCAATATCACCCAGTGTTGTCTACCCACCCAGCCTCCTTCACTGCCATGCTGAGCTTTTTGTTGTAAAAACCCACAGGGAATAAACTGAGAGGAAGTAATGCTCCAGGTTTGTGCGCGGTCCTACCTCATGGCTCTGGGTATTGGTGAGAAGCCCCCGACAGAAGCAAAGGGGGAGAGGAGGGCTGGGGCTGCCACACTTCTTCAAGGCCTAACAACCCCTAGCCAGGCCCCTCAAGCAGTCACTACCTCCATGGTGCTGGCCACCAGGAACCAAGCTTTCAATGTGTGAACTCCCGGGTCCTCAGCAACCCAGTAAGTACATCCCAAGAGCCAGACCACAGCTTGGCATTGTGGGGCACTCTGGGGGATGTCCAGTCAACATGCTAGACACTGGCAGAGACTCAAGGCACAGCTGGGGTGGCTAATGTGGGTGGGCAGTAGTACACTAGGGAAAACACAGCCCACTCCCTGCCTTCTCAGATGCACCTGGGGTGATCTCTGCCACCATGGCCTCTGTGCCACAGCCACATGAAGCCCAGGATTTGAGGGCTGTGTCAAAGGATAGATGGGGACAGCCACTCAGAACTGATAGGAGGAAGGTGACTGTCACAGGGACCATGGAAACACTGGCTCTCCTGCAACCCCAGCTGGGCTGGGGATGGCCCAGTGCCAGCTACAGGGCTGGCCATCGGGATAGTGAAAACCTGCGCTCTCACTCCAGAAGGTCCCACAGGTTAATATGTGAGCGACAAAAATACAACATGAAATAGAAAAATATTAAAGTGTTTTGTGATTTGTTTTTCTACCGAGGATGGAACTCAGGACCGTGTGCTTGCCAGGCAGATGCTTATGCCACTGGGCTATCTCTTCAGCCCTAAAATTTTTTTTTAACTAACCAAGAAATTAAAAATCTTTACAAGATTTAAAAAAAAAAATCATGTGAGCAAATTCAAAATGAACAACCAAGGATAATCGTTAGCAGATAACACTTAGGCAAGCACCTCTTTCAAAGCAACGGGAAGAGCTGGGGAGATAGCTTGGTGGTCTAAACACCTGCCTGGCAAGCATAAGAACATGGGTTCAATCCCCAGTACTGCATGCCATGCTGGCCCTGTACCAAGCGAGCCACCAAAACCCTGTGTGGTGGCACACACCTGTAATCCCAGCTCTGGGGAAGCTGAGACCAGAGGATCATTATGAGTCTGAGCTGTGTAGCAAGATCCTATACTAGGCAGATGGATGGATGGATGGGCGGGCGGGCGGGCGGGCAGGCAGGCAATGCAACATAACAGGAAAAAGACTAAACCAAGCATAGTGGCACACACCTTTAATCTCAACACTCTGAAGGCTGAAGCAGGAGGATCCCAATTTTGAATCCAAACTGGGCAACACAGTGACATCTTGTAACAAAATAAAACTTTAAAAACAGGTGGGGATCAGAGCTCAGTGTGAAGACCATGAGTTCAATTCCCAGTATAAATCAGAAAAAAAAAAAAAAGAAAACTGAAAGTGTAAAAGTTAAACAGAAAAGGAGCACAGAAACAGAACACATGAGCCTCACTCATGAAGAAGAGCACACACACACACCATGCCAGAGCCATGGTGCTGTCCAAAGATGCCCTCAGCTCCTGCAGCCGTCACCACTGCTGCCCTCCCTCCTCAGCCCTGGTGTGCCACATCTGCTTTCATGCAAGCCACATCTGTCAGCGCTGCTCTCTGAGGCTGCTGCAGTGTGTGTGCACCACACAACAAACCAAACTATAGCAAGGGAGTCCTTCAGAGCCGGACAGCCCTGTCCAGATACCTTCAATCCAAGCTCCTGGAGGGAGAAGGGGCCTTGGGAAGACCCACCTGGGATGGCCTTCTCAGCATCCCAGACACTCTTCCCTCAGTTTCCCTCTGCTGTCCTCATGAGATCAGCAAAGACCACAGAGCCCATACCAGGGGGAAATGTGGGAACACCTATCACCACCTCAGGAACATGACATAGACCTCTGACAGACCCACACATTGTGACTCTGGGAGCTCAGCCTTGGTGAGCCCCATGGGGGCTGGGACACCACTGGCCCCCACAGAGCTGCAGGAGGAACAAGCAAGTGAACAGGCAAAGGCACAAAAACAGCAAAGAGGAGGACATGGTCGCTGTACATGCCACAGGGTCATATGCACAGAAA